CTAAATTCGCGGGATTTCGCGGGACATTTAAGGGATTTGCGTGATTGCGCTTATAGGCCAATTTTTTTTATCAAATTCGCGTGATTTCGCGGGACCATTCGAGGGACAAACACCCTAATTGCGGGACAGTTAACAGGTTTACCAGCAAAAACTTCATAGAGGGACAGATCTTCTAGAAAAAGTGCCCTAAATTTGCGGGATTTCGCGGGACATCCACCTAAATTTGCAGGATGTCCTGGGACATTTAAGGGATTTGCGTGATGTGGACTAATGTAAAAGCGTGTAAAAGTACTTGAATCAAACTTTCAGATACTGATTAATCAAATATAATGCACCGTTACATTGTAACTTAAATAAACGTCAACATAATTTCACAAAATACGCATAGAAATATTATTAAACTTTATTGTAATTTATCAAAAACAAAAACCATGCTTGAGGTGTGAGTATCATAATCTAACACGAAATTCAAAAATTTGGAACAATACTTTGCACTTCTCTGCTTCTGGCGTCGTGACCAACTACTACCATACTGTAGGCATGGGCTTTCAATTGAAAGCCCATGATATAGGGTTTCGATTAATCTACATCAAATTATAGGGAATGAGGTCACTTTTCTAGATAGGGTTTGTAGAAAAAAACGGGTACCTGGTAGTAAATCCTCCATGCTGGGTTCAAACTTTTTATTTTTTTTTTATTCCTTCATTCTTATTTATGTACATGTAAATGTAAATATAAATATGTACATGTAAATGTAATGCAATTAATAATATAAATAGACAAACTTGGTACCCGGTCGAAAAACCGGGTACCCAAAAAACGAAATATACGAATATACAACATAATTAGATCATTAGAAAACGTGTAAGATTTGTTTTGAATTTACAAAAATGTAACTTCCTTCAAAATTGAGCTAGAAGCTTAAAATAAAAAGCATTTTAAGCCTCTTTTCTTCCTCTATCATCATGGTCATATTTCCATTGGTAATGAAGGGGGAGGGGGTGCGATCGCACCATCACACCCTCTCCTGGCTACGCCAATGACATTGTAAGACGATTTGAATAACAAGACAAATCAATTTTACTCTATTTTCAATGAGTTCGTATGTTGGTACGTGAACATAACCAATGAAAATATGGTCATTACGATAGAGGAAGAAAAGAGCCTTTTTATTTGAAGCTTCTAGCTCAATTTTGAAGGATGTTACATACATTTTTGTAAATTCAAAACAAATCTTACACGTTTTCTGATAATCTAATTATGTTATACTCGTATATTCGTATTTTTCATTTTTTGGGTACCCGTTTTTTGACCGGGTACCGGGTACCAAGTTTGAACCCAGCATTGAGGATTTACTACCCGGTACCCGTTTTTTTCTACAAACCCTTTCTAGATATCAGCGTCCATTTATTGTAACTCGCGTTTGCTAACATTTGCTCAGTTCTGAGATGAAGGCCACACGGATAGTAAAAAGGCCAACGTTGGAACTATTTGTGACCTACATCCCTATTGTCGTAATTAAAATGAAAGTTGAACCCTTCCTCTTTATTTTGATACCAAACAACAGCATGCTAGGTACTTAAAATTAAGGTAAACTTTACTCCTCAAAAGTGCAAAAACTTAGCTTCTTATATAAGATAAGATAATCACCATATAGGGGATTGCAACAATTTCGGAAATTCGCGGAGGTCGAAAGCCACATTTGCGGGACTTCGCGGGACATTGCGGGACACGCGAATTAGCCTAATTTTGATCGAATTCGCGGGATAATCCCGCCATTCGCGGGACACTTGACAGCTCTGCAATCAGGGTAATACCATTGCTCTGAAACTGCTATATGTTGTCGCTGCTTGTCGTTGGTAGATATGATATACTCTTGGCCAAAATCATAGCTTAAATCTCTGAGCTTCCATCAACAATAGCATTTTTGTTGTACGTTTCATGGACTAATGAGTTTGATATACAGCGATGTAGTAAGCCCCTTATCTCTTGCTAACTTTGTATTGTGGCCACCATACTATGGAATGAATCTCCCTGTCAGATGATATCAAAGCCTTGATTCTGAGCATGTGTCAGTGTTTTGGTCAGGAAACATGTTTGTAGCATGGCACTGATTTATAGAGCACCTGGGGCTATTATCATCTTAATCTGCATTTAGGTAATCAAACAGCTGATATAGCATTATAAACCACAATTTTATATAAAATGATGTAACTTATGATGTAATTAATTATTATTTTGCACATCAAATAATTTATAAATATCTGTAGTTATACCTAGCATGCTTATATTTTAAAATATCAGTCGATACATGTGCAAAGAAAACCTTTATATGGTGTTTTTAAGTGGAGAGAGTGCCACACCCCCATCTATAATGATTGCATAATTCCAATGCCAATTTATGAAGAATACTCAACCTGCAGTATTTTGAAACCTTGGTAATATCTTTTCAATTGATGAAGATATATATTTGGGTCATACTTTAGCAGTCACAAAAATATGAAGAAACTCTGCTAAAAAAGTGAAAACAGTGACAAAATTTAACCTCCCACCTTAGGTTGTAACGTCATGATGTAATTACAGGGTGTCCGGAAAGTAAAGATACAAATGCTCTGATTTCAATAGATTTACCTGTTGTGAGATGAAATTGCTACAGATTGTAGAATGACATTGTAACAATTTATCCTGCAACTGTCATGACAAATTGTTTCAAAATAAAAAAGTTACGGTTCTTATGGTAACAGGAGTCGCGGGTATGTGGAGCAGCATCACAATTATGTTTTATAATTCTTTTCTCCAGTTCATATCATCTTGACACTTTGTCATCTGTTGGTATTATACATCAAACTATGTACCGCAACAGCAAAAGGATTAGTACTGTAACATTATTTAGTCATTTGGCATTACTTTTGTTATCCAGTATTATGTATTTCCTACCATTATCTTAACATTCTTGATGCATTTTGACCGGAGATTCCAAGACCTGACAAAACCGCCGATGCCTATCCCTAAGATTGCTGCTACCATTTGCTTCCAGCCGAATCTCATTTTTATGTTGAACTTCTAACAAATATTGCTTTAAGATATTCATTAATGTAGAAGTCCAACGGGGCATTATCAGGCAAATATGGGCCATTGTACAAAAAGTTTTAATGTCAAGACATTCATTTGTAAGATTTGTTTTCTTTGCTTTGTGAATTGGTCCATTGACTGTGGAGGTGCATTATTGACTTTTCTATTAATCCAGGGTCCCTTTTTCTAAGCACTTGTATACTTTTTCTTTGATCATACTGGTGACATTATATAGTTCTGATATGTATCAATGATATCATTAAACTAAAGAAAATACTATGGCAGCAAGAATACAATATTGAACAAAACAAAACATTGATAGGAAATAAAATAATAAACACTGTTTCAAATGGCTATATTTTAGCAATTTATCACAATTTAGTGATATCCTGGAACTGCTCTGCATACCCCTCACCACCGTAACCACGACAACCGTAACTTTAACACATTTAGACTATATGTTATAAAAGTTGGTAGATGTATTGTAATAAAGTTCCTCTACAATCTGTAGCAATTTCATTACAAAAAAACAAAATATCTTAAAATAAGAGTATTTGTATCTTTACTTTCCGGACACCCTGTAATTAACATTTTACACATGAACCATTTATAGCTGTACTGTAGCTGAATTTATAACTGACATCCTAATTTCAATACACCAGTTGGTTTGTGTGCAGAAACAACCTTTATATTGTGGTTTGTAAAGTAAAGCACCATGCCCCTGGTATGTTGGCAAAATTGACACACCCGCCTTAGATTGTTACGTCATTAATTATGTAATTAATTATCATATTGCACATCAATCATTTATAGCTATCTGAAGTTATTACTAGCATGTTTACACTTAAATAAAACACTTGGTTCTTGAGCAGAAACAACCTTCATATGATGGTTTTTGAAGTAAAGTGCCACGCCGCCTCCTAAAATCATTACATAATTTTAATGCCTAATTATGAAAAATAAAAACCTGCAGTATTTTGCAACTTGCTAATATTTGTTCACTTGTTAAACATAGAAAACCTGGGTCATATCTTGGGAATTGTTACAAAAATATTAGGAAGCTCAGCTAAAAAAGTGAAAATGAGTAAAGAGAAGCAAAATTGCCATATCCACCTGAAATTGTTACGTAATATATCATTTAATTGCTTTACATTGTGCTCATAAATCATTTCTAGCTATCTGTAGTTATTACTAGCATGCTTACACTTTAAGATATTAGTCTATTGAGGTGAAGATGCAACCTTTATATGATAATATGTTAAGTAAAGTGCCACGCCCACCTCTAAAATGATTACATAATTTCAATGGCATTTTATAAAAAATGCTCAACCTGCACAATTTTGCATCTTCCTAATATTTTATGCAGACACAATAAGGTATCCAAAAATGCAAAGAAAAAAACTTTCTACCACAAAACGACCTTTGGTGTCATTTTCCTATTTGGCAACTGGACATTGTTCACTGTTCAGATTAGGAGGTGTTCAGATTTCAAGGTTTTTTTAACATGGGAGTCAATGGGAGGAAAAAATGGGACTGAAAAAAAGTGTTCAAATTGGAAGGTGTTCGGATTAGCCAGGTGTTCAGATATACAGATTCTACTGTATTTTGAAAGTAATGTAAATGATGTATTCAGTTGTATTGGGCATTTTAAAAGTCACATAAATGATGCATTAGATTATATTAGCATATTTTGAAAGGTCACTCAAATGATGCATTACATTAAATATTTGAATATTTTGAAATGAAGTGACAGTTAAACAAAATTAAAGAATGTTAATTGTGAATTTATTATAAATTAATTGTATTCCCAAATAATTTATAATGAACTTATTGTGAACGCATAAAATACATACGGTAGACAAATATTTATTCAATTATATTTTTGGTAACCAAGTGATTGACATGTACATTTGGATCTTCTTTTTCAGTTCTGATGTCCAAGTCCCATTTAGCATCCAGTGTGAGCAGGTGTACACAAAACACTTGGTTGAAAATGTAAGTATAAAATGTTAATGGTACAAAATAATAATGATATGTATATGTACAGGGTGGGCCAAAAAAACCAATACCCAACTTCAAATCAGGATAAAAATAGTTACATTCAATATGGTACATTGACTTACATATCATTTTAAAGGTTATACAATTTCTAACAATTTGGTATATAACACTATGTCATGAAATCAATAGTAAAGTTTTATTATACTTATTTGGGAGGCCGGGTTGCTATTTAAGGTCTCCAGATTTGAGGGAGAAAATAGTAAATCTGCGGAATTATGTTAATTTTCTATTTATAGAATATCATTCTTTTGTAAGGTGAATACATGCTTGGATATTGATATTTGCATCATTGTGTGACTAAATTTATTGTTTATGAATTTCAGTGTTGTTTAATAAAATTTTACACTTTATTTAAACAATTTTAACAATTGCTCAATGTACCCCACCCCCTCTCCTCTGCATCAACAATAAGCTTCAAGTGGTAGTGCAATCTATCAATAGCCTTATTGAGAGATTTCTGTTACAATTCATTTCAGCACTTTAGGATTCTGTTTCAGCTCATCAATGCTGTTTATTGGATGCTTTTGATTGTACCATTTCCTCGAGATGGCTCCATGTATGGTAATCAAACACATTAGCATCGGGGCTGTTAGGTGGCCAAGCATCGAGATCAATCAAATTGACACATTGTTTGCAAAGAAATGGCAATGTCTACTTTGATCTATGGTACGAGGCAATGTCTTGTTTGAAAATAAAATCCTCGTCACATATACGTTGAATGTCTTTTAACAGACCCCCTTTGAGTACTTATTGATAATAAACAACGCTAGAATTCATAAACAAAAAGTTTAGTCACACAATATGCAAATATACAAGCATGTATTTACCTAACAAAATGATATTCTATAAATAAAAAATGAACATTATTCCGCAGATTTACTATTTTCTCCCTAAAATCTGGATACCTTAAATACCGACCCGGCCTCCCAAATAAGCATAATAAAACTTTAATATTGATTTCATGACATAGTGTTATATACCAAATTGTTAGAAATTGTATTGTTATATACCAAATTGTTCGAAAATGGATTACCTTTGAAATGATATATTAATCAATGTATCATAATGAACATAGCTATTTTCATTCTGATTTAAAGTTGGGTATTGGTTTTTTTTGGCCCACCCTGTATATATGATATCTGGTAATTTTCAGGGTGCTTGATTTGTTTATGATTTGACAGCATGCCTTTTAAATGAGACACTATCTTAGTAACTAGTTCACGGTAAACTACTACTACTATACTTCAAAAGGTCAAGATTTTTAAGGACTTTTACTAAAAATTGTGAATTTATTACAAATTTATGTAAATTATTTTGATCTCGTCAAATACACATACATTATTTTTGCAATAATTTATGCCAGTGCATAACATACAAACATTTTTTAAAATACTATACACGTATGTATTAAATCATAAAGTGAATGGTTGAAATAACTTTTGCTTTAGCTTTTCAATGAAGTAGAGAAAATAATATGTGTTTTTTGTGTAAAATGTTGAATTTGATTATCTAAAAATCTAAACTTTTTTTTCCAGACTAGCCCGATAGTGGGAATTTCAAATATTTGAAAATTATAAAATGAATAACTTTTTTCAAAAATGTCTCAAATGGTTTTTCAAGTCATGAAAAGGAATATTTGATTAATGAAACTATTTTTTTGTAAAAGTCCTTCAAAATCAATTTTACATAAGATTACAATGAATATGGACTTAGCACTATTGCTATCTTTATATCCTGTAAAGACTCTTAATTAGGGTACACAAAAGATTTACCCCCCCCCCCCTCTTTTTATTTTGCAGATCATGTGGTTCAGTAGTGGTGGGACCAGTTCTGTGGTCCACACGGACAGTGTTGACAATATTAACTGCCTGTATAGGGGACAAAAAGAACTAGTGTTTGTTGATCCAAAACTATATGGAGAAAAGGTACCTGATGAATATACAGTGAAAATTCAAGGATATTCTAAATGTAAATTGAATGGTCTTTTTAGTCATGTTATAAACATCTTCAGATTTTTGTTGATATTTATTGGTTAATACTATTTTAACAGCTGAAGTGGCTCATACATGAAAATCATGGCTTTTATTTCTCTTACAGGTAGACTTTGATCATCCTGAAGGATCTTACTGTGGTGTAGATGTTGACAAGTACGTAAAATTAATCTATTTCATTTTGGTCTACATTTCCCTACATTGACTTCACTGAGAGGGCTATTGCCCTACTGAGAGGATAATTGCTTCAATGAGAAGCCAATTGCCTCACTGGGAGTGCTGTTACCTTACTGGAAGGGTCATTGCCTCACTGATAGGACAATTGCCTCACTGGGTTAGGGCATTGCCTCCCTGAGAAGGCCATTGCCTCACCGAGAAGGCATAAGGGATGCGAGTTGATTGATCATTTCTCAAATTATAATTTTTCAAATATATCTCTTAGTCTGATATTATTTTTAGTTTGATTTTTTAACACCTTTATTTTAACAAATTTTGAATATTTATTTATGCAAATCAAGATTATCTTGCATATTAAAAGATATCAGCAGAAAGGCCATTTTAAGATTTAAAGATAGCCCAGTTTAATGTACAGTATACTAGTATATTATTGCAATCATAATCATATTCTAAACCTGCTTCTCTTAAAAGTCAAACAAACCTAAACAGTTATCATTCCAACTATTTTAGCTATTAACTGTAGTTAAAGTGAAATATTCTCATCAGAAAGAAAAGAGCGTATTTTAGACTACATGTATAGTTAAAATGATATGTTCTCACAACAAAAGCTATATTTTCCACAGGGTTGACTACACTAAGTACCCAGGACTGGCTGAAGTAGAATTTTACCATACAACTATGAATGCTGGAGACTGCCTCTTTATTCCTTTTAAATGGTGAGTAGAAATAAGAAAAAGTATATATTTTAGATGCTGGAGACTGCCTGTTTATTCCTTTTAAATGGTAAGTAGAAAGACATATTTGAGAAGAACAATACAATGTACATGTTTTGGTAAATGTAGACATGTTTTAGCAGGAGATTATGTGTTTCAGTATAAAAGACATGTTTGAGTCAAAGTGTATACAATCATGTACATGTTTGAGTAGGAGGATGGATGCATTTGGAACAAGGAGCATACATGTGGTTGATCTTTTACATTCAATGGCTAACATCTGTAAAAAATGGTGGTCAGCATCTGTAACAAATGGCAGGTGGTGACATTTTGCACGTTAATGTTTCATTTAAAAACATGTTTGAATCATTCTCCGTTCTAGGATACATCAAGTAAGATCATATGGAAGCAATCAAGTTGTAAACATCTGGTGGGACTTTCATAATAACATGTTTGAATCATTCTCTGTTTTAGTAAACATCAAGTAAGATCATATGGAAGTAATCTCGCTGTAAACATCTGGTGGGACTTTCATATAAATATGTTTGAATCATTCTTTGTTCTAGGATACATCAAGTAAGATCATATGGAAGCAATCTAGCTGTAAACGTCTGGTTGGACTTTCATATAAACATGTTTGAATTATTCACTGTTTTAGGATACATCAAGTAAGATCATATGGAAGCAATCTAGCTGTAAACATCTGGTGGGACTTTCATAAAAACCGAGATGTTGATCTTGAGAAGTGCAATAAAGAAGTGGATAACACACTCACCTTTAAGGATATAATATTCAATGGCTTCGGAGAAATGTTCAGCAATGCTAAAGCTATCAAGTAAGATTCAACATAATTTTATGTGTATGTTTTGGAGAATGAAATATTCCAATATATTTCATGTGCATCTTCAAAATTGAGATTTTTATGATATTTGGCATAAACTACCATAAAACAATGCCTAATACAATCTGATGTCTAAACAAGGCACTCGGGAAGGCACTCGGGAAGATAATTTAAAATGTTTATGCTGACAACAATAAATATTGTTCAATATATATCAATAACTTATTAAACTCTGGATGTCTTGACCTCCAACCTTCAAAATGAGTGTGAAACATCTTACATTTTTGCTGGTTTTTGACATTTAAGAGAGTTTCCTGAAAGTATGCCCTATGCAGGCATGTACCAATGTCCCCATAGTATGTGTAATATATCATTTTAAAGCTCATCCATAGTTACATTGATTTGCCAAGTATCATGGTTCTTATTGCATCCTATGACCCCTTTAGATTGTGGTCGTACGCGCGTATAATTGGTCAGTCAATGTTTTTAGAAAGTTGGAGAAAATACTACGCTTTGCACACCTAAATGACCTACCTCGATGCATTCCTTAGTATTTGAGAATTCTTTTTATAATGTAGATGAATCACCAATTGTATGGGTTTATCGGCAGAACGAAGAGGTTTTCGTTTTTGATAGCAATATTTGCGTGTTATATTTAACTTATTTCAACCGTCAAATTCCTCCATTCAGTTCCCGGCATGCACCAGTCATAAGGGAAATCTTTGGGGAATTCCCCTTCCGACATTTTGAAAATTGCTGATATATTTCGGATGTAAAAACTAAAATCTCTTCGTTCTGCCGATAAACCCATACAATTGGCGATCTAACAACATAAAAAGAATTCTAAAATACTAAGGAATGTATCGAGGTAGGTCATTTAGGTGTGCAATGCGTAGTATTTTCTCCAACTTTGTAAAAACATTGACTGACCAATTATACGCGTGTACAACCACAATCTAAAGTGGTCGTAGAATTCGATAATCATGGTTCAACTCACAAATGGTAAACAATGTGAAGTATACACATTTTGAAATATAATTTGCAAAGATTGGATCGAAACTCTCAAATTAAGAACAATTTGAGTGAAGATTTACTTTTATCATTGATTTACTTGTCACTTAACATTGAAGATCTCAGGATAATATTTTGACAAGAAATATTGCCACTCGTGGTAGACGAGAAGTTCAATGATTATAGATACACCTAAGAAATTCGTAGATGGCATCATAAAATCATTTGAAAACTGGAACTGCCTTTTGAGTTGCACATTAGTTCATTAATATATATCTATATACATATATATCTTTGGTTCTTACCTCCTAGGGACCATTTCTGCGAACTCACAATGAGGGACAAAAAGATGGATTTCGAAAAGCTTGCAAAGGTTTTATTTGGTGTAAGTACTGCTTAATATATACATGTACAGGGTGGCCTAAAATAACTCCATCTTTTTATTTGACAATTAGAAAGGTTATCACCAAATGAAAAATATAGACTTTTTGGCGCCATATTTTTTTTATATTATTTTGTGAATTTTAGTATTTGTTTATTTTTGTTCATATTTATTTTTATTTATCTTATGAGTGATTCTGTTGTGAAAAAGCATTCGCGATATTATTCATTATATTGGCATTTTTAGTGAATTGTTTTCACTCTGGAACTTCCACTTATCAAATACTGACACTGTATTGTAATGCAATGGACAAATACCACCATTATTTCACTCGTTAAAAGTCAAATTTAACAAGATAATCCAGTGAAAAAATCACTGAAAAACTACAAAGACCCGAAGTTATGGAGTCATGGAGTGATAGTGAAATGTTGCTTTTAGTGGAATCTATTAAGTAAATAGTTATATTGTCACAGAAGTATGTAGCGCCACTTATACTATTAGGCTACTGGTATACTGTTCTGGATGGGGTAGGGTGACTTACAAGTAAGGAACTCTATTGTTATTTTTGTAAATGACTTTTTTACCAAGAACAATATAGATAGCGCTTCGTGCTCTTTTACGTTATGTTACATTTTGCAAGGAGTTTTAAATCAGATTTTCAAACTGTGAACACAATTTCTATATCTGTTTTTTTTGTGTTTTGATGCAGTATTGCATTTACCAAGAAAAAGTTTAAATATACGAATAAACTCTAACAAACTTCATTATGTCACCATCTCTACACGGTGACATAAAACAATCATGTAACTTAAGCACATATTTCAGTATATTGTGGCGTCTTATAGCCCAAAAATATACAACAAATCTCAAAAAGTCCAATTAAATCCCTAGTGAATGACATCTGGACCCTGATTGAAACTCATTGGATCTTGTCGTGACATCATTTGGACGCTGTGGAAAGTTCTAATGTACATCATCCTTCTTGACCTTTGTTATTATTACCGTGCCCTTGAAATATGAGATAAATACAGAATATCACATCATTTTGAGTGATATCATTTTTATCGCCGAGTTGATATCAAATATCAACACGAGTGAGCGAAGCGAATGAGTGTTGATATTTGATATCTACGAGGCGATAAAATGATATCACGAGAAATTATGTGATATTGGGTTTATCCCATGATTACGATCACCTTGTGATATAGTTCGTCATAAATACAATTTTTTAATCGTTATTTAGCAGCCTTCTAATCAAATTATATACACAATCGTAATTTAATACACCAATGAAACTTAAAGAGAATAAATTAACGGACCTATTTTCTCAAAAGAGAATAAATTATCTGACCTAATTTCCAATAATATTATGGCGCGAAATGCAAATGTGATATCACACGGATATGCGTGAGATAAACAATATCACACGCATATGAGTTTGATAAACGATTTTCTGGAAAATATCACATGGATTTCAATGATATCAGAAATATCAATAGCTGTTATTGTACAGATAACACATTAATCGTGGGATAAAAGCATATCTTATATGTGTGGCCTTAGTCAATACATTTCCTACCTGTCTTTGTACAACATTTATACCTTTGAATGAAGATATTTCATGTATTCATACAGCTGTACAGTTCATACTAATAGTTTTTTAAATACAATATTATTGTATTAGTACTTCTTGCAACATAAACCGTGGCTTGGAAGGGTCGAAACACTCTTATTACTTTGTCATAAATAGAAAATAAAACAGAGACCACTAGCAAAAAGAAATAAACCAGTTTTAAGTTTAAGACCTACAAATTACGTTTCCTCCATTTTTAAAGTAGCACGTTCACAGAACGAAAACGGTAATGTATAGATTTACGTTTGTGGTTCATGTAATAAAAATGGTATTGCTTTACCTCTCTATTGTTACAAAATATACATTAGCTTTTAGTCTTTTGATCTCTTGATTTGATACATACCTTGACACCTTAGCATGTACACTTCTACAGTAAACTTTTTTATTGTCTACTGAGCCCAAGTTTTGCCGATTTCACACCTGATTTGTAATATATGTCTTTGTTGACATAACCTTTATAATTGTTTGCGTTATTTTTTGTTGCACTTGTTGTTGGTGTGCGTGGTCGTATGCATAGGATCTTGTTGTTGTTGGCGTTCTTGTTCTGAAAAAGAAATGAATTGGGGCAGTCTATATTCATTTGAGTTCCGACCTTGACCTTCCAGTTTAAAAAAACTATCGTTCACTTCTTATGTAGATGGTAATAGCCAGTCTCGTGACATAAGTCTGGCGGGAGGCATCTAAGGTTCAATGTCGACGGATAAGCCTATAAAACTAAATAAATCTAGAAGGGGGGGGGGGGGGGTTAAAGCCATTTCAGTTTGCTATCAGACAAATTTTAACATTTCAATTTTTGTGCAATTTTGACTCGGATCAGAATTCCTTTGAATGGTTTTAAATAAAGAGTTTACTTGATGTTTTCTGCAAATGCTGTTTACTGTTGTTGTCGCATGTTTTAAGAATTCGTTATTGTAGCCTACATACATGTACGTTATGGTAATATCCCAATGAAAATCCAAAATCCACTAGAGTCCACACGCGAAAAGTCCACGATCACGTTTTTTGGGGGAGTGGGTCAAACTCAAAACTAGATTAATTTAGCTTCCTATCAGACATTGAACTTTTGATACCTCTCCTTGCGACCAGCATAGCATCATACTAACCATTTACAGAACATTAAATATATCAGTGTTGACTATTTGAACCATCTGAAAAACTCGTTGAACCATGAGTAGGCTAGGCCCTAGATCTAACTAAATTTCTTCAAGTTCATAAATTGATTTTGCGCCACTTCTCATGTTCTGGCTCGAATAATGATTCAGTAAAATAAGAAGTTACAATTCTATTCATTTCTACAATCAAGTTTAAGTGAAATTCGATTATAAATACTGAAAACCAGGCTTTAAATGACAGAAATACGCTTACCCGTTCAGACAAAATTGAGAGCAATGGCGGACAATGCGTTCTACGTCACATGACGACATTACTTGGAAACACAATCGATCCGTAATCGCGTCATATGACGACTTAGTAGTTCCCTTGACAATTTGCCATATAAGGTAATAAAGGCGGTCTTTAGGTCACGTGACCGATCCACTGGTTTATGTCCGGAATAAGGTACAAAGAACCGCACTTCGTGGGGGGTCTTTGTAAAAAAAACTTTGACATAATCAAAAGACTAATGTCACCTACCTTTTTTAGAAGTTATTATTATGACATAAGCAGATACTCATCAGTTTTTGAGGAGAAAAAACAGGAAATTCCTGAATATGTGATAGCATGAAAAACAGCAGATAGTCATTAAAAATGGGGTGAAATTTTTCAGATGGAAGGTCTTGGTGAGATTATAGCAAAACCAGGAACTTCTAGTGAGGAACTGAAGAGTAGATTACAAATAGTAAGTATAAACTGAGTGACAATTATATGGATTCTTCATGATTTTTATGTGTAGATATAGAGTTCTTGCATAGCATCAACAACTTGGAAATTAAGAAATATCTAATTTTCCATTATTGAAAAAGTTATACCAAAATAAGTGGGTGGCATTTTTGTGTCACCCTGTATAAGGGTTTTGCAGACATCAATTTACAACTTTATTGTAGTTTACTTCACTCAGTAGACATCATTACATTGAATGAATATGGAAAGTGACTCCCCAAATTAATAGTCAAATTAAATCAATTTAAAATGCACTTTTTGATTCAAGCCAGGGCTGTCATCTTTTAGAGGTCTCATGTAAAGTTTGACAATATGTTCTTATCATTCATTTACTATTTTTCATGACTTGAAAGTTATTTTTGAGATTTTTAAAATGAAAAATATTTTGAAAAAACTAGTCAGCCTTTGATTATTTTTCAAAATTCATTATCTTTTTAACACCAATGCAAAGATTGAACAAAGGCCACACTATTTCAATAATAAAATGTCATCTTATGTGCCACTTTACCGTTTTAGCATATTAAAATATTTTGAAACCAAAGTGACATCACTCAGGTGGCTAAAGATGCTAAAGTTCAAAAATAAACCTATGTTGGTTGTCTAACCAGGTTGAAATTGATTTTATACACCTATGTTCCTAGATACTATGAATTTAAAGGTTGTGTAGATTCCATACTACTATGTTCATGAATATTCCCTTAGATAGCATAGATTCTGTTAGGGATGTCACGGTACAAAAATATTTCGGGACGGGACGGGAATTATCCATTTTGGGACAGAACAGGACATTACCAATAAAATAGTTAACCACAGTCAAAAACTTACATTTTCCGTCTACTTCCGGTTTTGCTAATGCAGCGCGGATCTTTTGAACGTCACAAGACAGCTGAGCATGTTACGCAAAACTTTTTATCTGAGATTAATTTTAAGTTGTTACTTTTCTCGCCGATAAAGTTCTTTGTTATTGTTTAAATTAAAATATATTTCAAAAGGAAACACTGTTTTCAACTACATGTACTGTCCTGAACTTTCATTTAATATAATCACTTATAGTAATTGCCATTAGATGGCATTTATGCATGGACATAATCCGGCAGAGAAATTATAAATACGAAAGAAAATTCAAGTCTTGATCATATTTATCGTGCTTTTGGGAAGTTTTAGTTACAGGAGAAATAGTATATTCTGAACATGGACCGAAATCTTCTGTACACGGGGGTTGTCCTGTCCTGTCCTAAGACCAAAGTCCCGAAGGACGGGACAATATCGGGGAAACCGTGACATTCCTAGAATCTGTACTTGCATGTTCTGGAGTAGTTCGTCAAACACTTTATGTTCTTGAGTACTGTGAATTTAAAGGTAGTGTAGATACTTTCCTCCTATCATCCATAATACTATTTTTGTATTTAAAGGTGGTGTATATACTATTTTCCAATGTTTCAGGTGTTTAATGTATTTGATGTCAACAGAAATGGTATCATGGAGCATGCAGAAGTCTTAGAAGCAACAGATGCTGTGAGTAATGTTTTCATGTAAAGTAAAACTTCTCAGGCCTGTAGTCAGGTGGGGTTCATGGTTCATCCCTTGCTAAAAATTATTTCAAAGTCATGCAGTTTCTCAACATTTTAAGCACTTGTCAATTGATTTTGGGACAAATTTGTCAAATTTGAACCCACCCTGGAACTTAAAAATTGCCCCTCCCCCACCCTTGGCAAAAGCTACAGCTACAGCCTACTTCTCCACCTGAACACCACTGACACTGGACCTTATGTTACAAGAGTTGTCCAAATCATATGAATTCGTAAGAACATTAGGGTCAAAAGGGATGAAAAAAAGTATTAAAACGTTACATAAATAAACATTTTAGGATAACCTCATGCAATATGTAGGGCAATTGATTCTTACCTAAAATAACTGTCGAATAAATCCAGGATTTTTCCAAAGTGGTGTGTCTAAAATTAGACTCTACATGCATATTACACTCAAGGTCTAGCTTCTCCATCTCTTTTAGCAGATCTACAGAGCACATAATTCTTTTTTCCTCAATGTCTCCTCAGCTCGAACTGACCAAGTACACAATCCTATATAGGCTCAAAAGGGAGGGGACTGTTGCACCCTTGGTACGATTTAGATGGTATGAATTAATCACTAGCCATGTCTATTGTTCATGTCTTCCAGATGTGGCAGACTGTAACTGATTCTATGAGCCAACTAGAAGAATTAACAGATCAATATATGGCAGAGTTGGATGAGCAAGAGGACAGACGAATGGAAGAAGCTGAAGAATGGACAACAAGAGAAGAACTGTAACATAATCAACATCTGTGTTGGAAAAATGGACACTGATTTGTCTATTGAGTTATGATATTTCACAGAAAAATATTATTTCAGACATTTTCAATGGAAGCTAAAAATGAAGTTTAATATTATTATACCACCTTTAACTCATTTAATTCCATTTTAAACCAGCAAGAAAACATTTCTGCAATCATTATCATATTGCCCATCGTGATAGCTGCGCCCCCTTTGTCTTTATCTTTCCAAAGTGATAAGAGGGGCTCTGGCATACCAGAATGCATATTGCCCTAATCTCCAAAAGATAGTACAGTCTGGCTGTTGATCTAAGTGCCAAATTGCAGTTTTTTGTAAATACGAGGTCTCTAGTTTTGAACGTCAATATGGTGGCAAAATACTGATATGCCAATACTGATATACCAATGTACTGGTACATTACCTGGTAGAGGACATGGAACTTCCAAAATCTAGAAAACCAAAATATAATGTATTATTATATCACTGTTAAATTCCGCACTCTTGGATTGCTCTATGTTCTACATGTGACTATAAAATAAGAAGATATATTCCCGGCTGTGAATTCACCCAGCGTAATTTCCTGTTCATACATTGTTATCTATAGTTACAGTATTCCATTATTAGGAGTGAGGAATATTAACAGTGAATAATAAAACAAATTTTTCATTCTATTTTGGAAGAGCACATGTGCATCTTTCATATGTCATATATTCCTCTAGCCCTCCACCCTCTAGGAACATTGATGAGGGCTAGAGAGTTATTGTTTAGGGCTTGTGGGGAATATTACTGAGGGTTATGCAGGCACGTAGCCAGGATTTGCCAAGGGGGGTTCAGTTTTCAAAAATTTCCAGCGGGGGGTTCACATTTGACAATTTTGGATCAAATATGGCTAAAATCACTTGAGAAGTGCTCAAAATTGGGAAAAACTGCATGATTTTGAAAGAACTGCTAACCGCCCTGGCTACGGGCCTGGTTATGGGAATATTGCTCTTCAAAGATGCATAGGTATTTTCCTCAATGAATTAAATATTAAAACATATTGTGTTATCTGTACAATGACAGACAGTGATATTTCTGATATTATGGAGATACTTTTGATATTTTTTCAGAAAAATGTACCAGCCCTAGATGTGGCTGATATTTTTTGCCAACCACATACAGTGTATTCGTATGATTAACAGATTTAAAATTTGATATGACAAACCAAATGGAAGATCATTTCTCATATGACTAACAAAGATACAGCCATCTTAACCCCATGCAAGATATTGCCATCTTTCATCCTAAAAATTCACACGTGCAAGATGAGATTTACTTGTGACATCACTGGTCTATAAACATTAACAACATGGCAACGGACACACCGTTGCTACGAGTATCCATGCTTATTCTACAAAACAAAGTTGTGACGTCATAACAATGTAGCTTTGTTGCCACGTGTATCTATGTATTTTCTTCAATATTGTTATGACGTCATTACAACTGAAAGTTGAAGATCAATTAATTTGAAACTATTTTTCACTCAGTTTTATGATAAATGGTGAAAATATGGCATAATACAGAGTCATATGAGAAAAACTTTCTTGTACTCGTACCTGTGCAATATCGTCCATTCTTGACTCGCTTTGATAATGTTTCTTTATCTCGTCTTCGACTCAATAAAGAAGAATTATCAAAGCTCATCAAGAATGGACGATCTTGCACAGGTACTCATATAAGAACCTCTATTTCTTGAGATATATTATTATTACTTGTGTTGAAATTTAATATCAATTCGTTGATAAAAATAATATCACTTAAAAGGATATTATTCTGTATGTCATGCTATTAATCAATATTATATTTTTAGAATGAGTATATACAAAACTATTTTTTTAAATTGTTGCTTGCTAGAGCTGAAAAAATATATTCTAGTAATATTCTGTAGAAAGTATTGTTAACATTCTGGATGTGGCGTTATAACTATTACTTATATGGATAAGGTTGACTGGTTTTGACAGTTAAATATACAATGTATATGAACGATGTGTTATAAGATTCAATTCAGACCAGTTGGTCAAGACTATTAGTTGAAACTATGTAAAACAAACATAATGGGTGTTTATTGAGGACAACATACCATGTACATGGCTTTACTACATACAACAGTAATCGTACGGTGCTTCATTACAAAAAATGGTAACAAATTACAACAAATGGTAATCTAGCTACAAGCCTCTGTGACCCCCCCCCCCCTCTACCTGACTACACACTTTCTCACTTGTCATAGTGGCAGGGGCTCACAAGGGCTTGTAGCTAGACTAGCCAAATGGCAAAGCAAAGAAAAACAGCTTTTATATTTAGCATTATAAAGCATCTACTCAAGACATATGTTTATATATGCCATATGAAAGGACATCCTCATTCAAAATGTAATACAGTAAAACCTGTGTACAGTGAACATATAGGGAGCTACAAAATGTGTTCGCAGTAGGTAGGTGCTCACTACATAGAGGCAATTTCATACAGAAGTCAGATTATGTGATGAAAAGGAGTGTTCACTAGAGAAAGGTGTTCAGTAGAGAGATGTGTTCACTAATACAGGTTTTACTGTAGAAAAAATATACACTGTTATGTAGCTCTCATAGGAGTATGTATAATTTCGATTTTCAATGTTAAATGAAATTTGGAATGTAACTTACATGTGCTTTTCTTTTTATTGAACTTTATTGATGTTGTCTTGTAATGATAGGTAGGTGGACTTGGAGACAGAAATCCTATCCATAAAATGTTTATAAATATTATGTTTATAAATATAATGTAACTGTAAAAGCCCACTAGAGCGCTAGAATTTGATGACCCTTTTGGAATTTGTGATAACTCAGCAGACATCTTGCTCTTCAAGAGGATATTATATCACCATGTATTGTTTATAATCCTTGTACTAAAGGCTTTGTTGATGTCAAAAGAGAAACGGGCCAGTTTGGCAGGTGTTGTATTATATCCATGATATTATACTGCTCTTTAACAGAAATTCATTAATCTGTTGATCTGATTTTGATCTGTTGATCTGATTTTATTTTTGTATATCACGTATTTGATTCTACTTTCATTTGATAATGTATCACTAAGCCAAAATAAATATATAGTTACTTAAACTATTTATGAAATGTTGTATCCGCATATTGAGCAAAATACATGTTCAAAGATAACTATACTACAATAAATTTGTACTTTGTTATTTTGACCAAAATATATATCCAGAGATTGGTATATTCAGATATTACAAGTTATTTATAGTTATGTCAGGAGAAAAACAAATGTATTGATGCAATGTTATCTAGTATATTTCAGACCCTCAACCGGTGTCTTGCTGCATTGCTTATATGAATGCAATCAAGTCCCACTCCCAAATAATGGCTAGAAAAAGACTTATCTACCCCCAAAAATCCTTTGCAAACTAGACTCAAACGGTTACTATACCTACATGAAACTTGGATTGAAAAGGCTTGAACAAACCATAGGGTATATACAGGAAAAACTGTAATCCGAACAACTCTCTAATCTAAACTTAACGTGAACGTGTTTGCGATTTCGTTTTTTTTTCCTATGTCACCACCAAAAGGTTGTGAGCCATTGTTACAGCCTCCAAATTTTTGCGGACCGTGTTCAGCAGTTGGTGTTCAGCGATCGGTGACTGTGACGGGGTCTGCGCATTATACCGAAACCCATTATGCCGACGCACATTATACCAAAACCCATTATACCGACGCGCATTGTACCGAAAGACGTTATACCGAATGCCATAATCACTGTTCCACAACTAGTTACTTTGACGAAACGTCAATGTAACAAAATAGATGAACTTCCTGGTTACGATTTTTTGCTTTCTCGATTTAAACCTACTAATAAGTCAAGTTGCTGATTATAATTTGGCCCAAAGTTAGAAAATATAGCCTAATTTTAATAAGTTTCTTCGATTTGGAATTTTGTTTTGTAAATGAAGCTGTAATTCATATACTAAGCCCCTCGCTTTTGTTACATTGACAAAAGCCTGTTATATTACCAATGTATGTTACTTTGTCAATGGGGATTTAGCCCGACCACTTTTAGAAAACTTGAAAATCTCTAGAATTGGAATAAAGGTAAATAACAGTGCAAAAACTAAGTTGTTTTGATAGAAAATTACACACTGCATTTAAATAGAAGAAAATGTCAGTCTTTAGTGGTTAAAACCACAGATCTCCTAAAATTCATTGAAATGAGACCTTAACGAGATTTCAAAGCTATATGGAAAAGCCACTATTAGATAGATGCCTTCACTAGGCTATTCTCTATACTTGTGTCCGTGCCTCATTTTGAGTAGCGAGTGTAAATTCTTTTCGGAAACATGATTATGTTTTCCCTGTAATATGAATTAGAGATATCTGACAAAATATGGATAGCCTAAAATATAAATGTTGTGTTTTTGAACATGCGGAAATATCTTGAACACTTTGAAACTGAAATACAGTTCCTTAATAGGTCGTTCAGTTTTCTTGATTTTGTTCTACACAACACTTGTGTTAATTAATAGCCACGCGTAATTATTAGTAAGCGTAATCAGATTATTTCAAGCATCGAAATAGCTTATTTTCCTCGACGTATCTACACAAACCTATTCACTTACCGTTATATTGAACGATCTAGATGCGTCAATTATAATTGTTTTCACTCATCGGCTTTAGTTGCCCGCGATACCTTTTATTCCTTTTATTGCCCGCGATATCTTATATTGGCAACAAATCAAATGTTCTAAATTCTCCTTCTTCATTTTGGAAAGTTTCTCCTACCTGATATTCAAAGATGTGTCTTCAATATTATACTTTACATTGATCACGATTCTTGTACTTTCTGTCTTTACGACTCCCGTTCACATTTGCAAGAGTTGTTGATTGCTTTGCTTTGATCGTTGGTCGAACTTCGATTCCAATTAAATCGGATTAATCAATTAAGAAATGTAATATCATGTTTATCCAGGCAAATAATTCTAACAACTACATTATTTTTTAGCAGTTTTGACACCTAATGCCTTGGTCACATTTGCTCCGATTTTCACTACGGAGCCCGGCCGATTGAGTATTTTGTTCAAAATTGAATACAATATTGAACATAACACTCAATCGGCCGGGCGCCGGCCGATGGATCGGAGCATGTGTGACCCGGGCATTAGCAGGGTAGCCTAGTGACGTAGACTGAGACTACTTTGCGGTTGAACGTCGTGGGATACGGAGGTCCCACTATCGAGCCTCATGTACGGAGTTGTTGATCATTACGGACACCTGGTCCGAAGGTCCAACCGTTTACCGGCCCTTGGCATGGGTTGGTTCTCTGGCCGCTCTTGCCGGAGACAGATTGTGGTTGGTTCCTCCACTAACGTGCTTTAGTAAACTCCGGTAGTCATATAGTATGGTAGCGGGCCCCCACCAAGGGCAGTAGTGGAACGACGCGAATCGGTCCCATTGTGGTTGTCTTGCAACTGAAGAGACTCGAGGAAATCATGCCATTCGCAGTGACCCAGAAAAGACTTTTGCTTCTTAATTTGACGTTTTGATTAATTTATTTACATACTTTATTCATATTACTTTCCAGGCAGTTATGATTTTATTTTATATTCAAATGAATGAACGAAACATCTAGATACTATTAGATACATTTAGATATTATCAAAACCATAATTCGATTTGTCGGACATATATAAAATAACACTTGAAAACACAACACACATAGCTGCAATATCCGTAGCATTTGGCACAGTCGGTTCCCACGCTCTATCATTTTGTCCAGTCGTCATAAATGATAAGAAGGTACAGTTGATTGGACCATGGACTTTCAACAGAGTCAAGAAATTGGCATGGATACTTTGAGAAATTAGGTAGCAAGAAATGGAAACAACGGAAATAATCCAGAAATGTCCACATCATTGTTTTCGTTAGTTATGGCAAGGCCCTGGAGGAAAAACAGCATTCGTGGGTTGTACCAATTAGAGCCATGACTTAAACTCAACCAAGAACGGTGGAGCAAAGTCACTATGGGTCCCAATTGTGAATCAATTCAAATCAAAATCAAATTGAGAATCAGATGCCCTGCTAAGTCTAGTATTGATTTGCCCCTAAATAGATATTAAATGGGCGCTGAATATTGGACTTAGTTAATGAGCACCATTTTAAACTGCCAATTAAAACATGTATTCAATGTTTCAAAATGAAACTGAAATATTGGTCAAAATAATTGAGATTTCGTTTGTTGAATGAAAACTGATGATAGAGATAATATCAGTAGCCAAAAACTATATAAGCAATTTAAACATGGAAATGATGCCAATTTAGAGGTATTATATGAAAAGAAATGTTTGTGAAATGGTTAGAAAATGAAATAACTTCAGAATTAATGGGATCATTGAGGCACATATGGATAAAAATCACACTTGGATTTGGAAAGATTTAAAGTAAAACAAATGAATGCGTTTCTTACTATCTCCATGACAACATATCTTGCTCTCTCTCCATGACAACAATTTTTGGCCCCATCAGCACAAGATCGAAAATACAATAATTATCAAGTTCAATAAATAATGTGAAACTTTATATTTAATAGTACAATTATTTATTTTTACCAATGAAACAATGCAGTATAAATAAATGTTTACTTCATTGAATACAGAATTTACCACGGTTAAATATATTTTATGAAGTGCAGGGTTTACCATAATTAAACATAAATAACAGAATTATGACTTTATCCTTTATGAAATAAAGAAATTGATGGTTAACTGGAACTAAGTTTGTTGAGACGACCCCTCAATCCGAAACGCCTAGCATCAGTTAAAAAATTTCTGGCCGCAACTGAGATGTTAAGATGTTCAAAGATTTTAAATTAAGCATTATCTGAAAATATGTTTTTGCGCGATAAACCTTTAATTAAATATGAATATAATAACAACAGATTAAAATCCAGTCTCATATGAAAAAGTTTAAAGTCAAAATATTGTGGAAGTGAATAAAAATGAATTTTTAATTTTCAAGACTTGTCTGTTCAATGAAAAAATCATGTATAATTTGAACCAAGGTGTATATTAAAGTAATATATAAACTATCTATTTTATATGCTGATACATAACAGCAGAATTTCTCTTGGTTTTTCAATATGGCACCATATTTGACTTTTCAGGCTCCACTTTTTATTATTCTTTGCCTATATAGTGTACTGTCATATATGTACACAATCAAGAGTATAGAGCTAGATTCAAAGCATCGTTCTTGCGAGTTTCAAATGAAAATATTGAAAAACGCGCGAGTATGAGGACTGCAACTTTTAATGTCTACACTGACAAAAACTTGAAATTACCGCTGTAAAGATATAGTCCCACGCAGTTAAGTGCACGTCGTAAAACTGATGGGTTAAGGCAATGTGCCGTCCCACTGGCACGGATTTCGGTACAACGCGCATCGATGCCTTTTCGGCACAATGCGCGTCGGTATAATGGGTTTCGGTATAATGCGAGTCGGTATAATGGGTTTCAGTATAATACGCGTCGGTATAATGAGGTGATTCGACTGTGACATATGACAGTTGGCGACATTTTGCTTCTTAAACCTAGTTGTTCAAAACACAATGAAATGTGAGAAATACATCAAGTAACAAGTAAAAACTAAATCGACAATTCAAAAATTGGGAGAAAAATCGGGATATTTTCTTGAAATCGAGGTTGTTTGGAAAAATCTGAGTGCAAATCGGGGATCATTTTCTGAAATTCGGGAGAAAATCGGGATATCTGGAAAAAATGGTGGGAAATCGTTTTTTAATCGAAGAAAAGTCGCGGCTACAAAAACAATAGAAAATACGTAAAAAGTCGCAACAAATGTAGCAGGAGAAAAGTCAGAGTATACAGGAAATAATTTAGCCAGAAAAACGAACATTTTTCAAATTTATTCTTTGTTATCAGCGTTAAATCTCGCCCCACTTATGCAGTCTATCCAAGTCTTTCAAACGAACCTAAATCCACAAGCAAGAAATATCGGTTCAAATGTCGCTGAGCATATATTATGCCACGGATTCGTAATATCTATGAGTCATACCATGGACTAGTATAACCCCTCGATCACTCAGATACTGTATCAGTTAAGGAAACTTACGTGTGTTCGTGTATTTATAATCAAGATGATAAATCAAAATCTCCACAGTCAATGTAATATCCAAACACAAAAAATGTTCGATTTGCAATGACGTGGCTTGAAGAAAATAATATCTATCCATGTGTTTTGAACTGAAACGAAGCATACGCAGTTCGAAAATGACAGTCGGAGTATAGGCTATTACCTACTCTATCAATGAGTTGTTTCGAAGAGTCCATACGATGATAGGGTTCAGGGTAAATCGAAAAAATCATTCAGATTTATCGGAGCTCTGAAAAGTGAACTTCCGCCATCTTGCATGACAAATATTATTTGTAAATAAAGTAGTCATTCTCTCCGCATAATAAATTATTCAATTCGCGGCGTATCGCCTAATTTTTGCCAGGTTCGGAAACTTTAATGTCGGAAGTAGTATCGTCTAAATGTTATCCAATGAGAAATTTATTGTCATTAGGAAAATTAAAAGTAGACAAATTACACGGTGTTATAGCATGACGGTTACGTCAAGGCGATTTGCAAAAATTTGCGGTAACAATAACAAAAAATGGCGGATGGGAAAGACAGCATGTCCTCTTTCCCGAATGCAAGCAAGATTCACAGATAAGATTTCCTTTTCAACTAGTTCCATTCGGTGACGAATATTTGGATGATAATAAAGACTGGGTCAAATCTGCCAGGTGGTTTACTAGAAGCGGAATATAAGCTGTAAACTTACCGACTGAGATGTCCAAGTTCATATTTTTTAGTCCATTCTCGTGATTTCTCAGTATATGTGCCTCAGAGCCACCCAAACTATTAACAGTAAGTCAATTGTAAACAAATCACGTGATCAAATCAATGGCGGTTTAGTTTTTTCTCGAGCTGCGTAAAATTGCATTTTTACAAGCATTTCTATGGATATACTGCGACAAAAGACCAATTTGGACGATCTTTGTATACACGAATATAAGCTGAACAACTTGGATTGCATATTCTGTGAACCCGGATCGTCTTATGGTGAGTTTATCGTCATAGACATTTCCCGTCAAAAATCAGACAATGGAAGGTGTTCTCGATCTTCCAGAATCTGGGAAAATAACTTTTGATAATGTTTTAACTAGTCCTTCAGCTGACTCTCAAACCCCTAAACAGCATAAATATGACATTGCTCAACTTTTCGATCGACTTGATTCCATCCAAGCTAGCCTAAACAACAACACTGTGTCCGTCAGTGTCCTTATGAACGATATGAAAGATGTTAAATCGTCTATCAAAGGTACTCTGGAGCTGGCGGCAGATGTATCCGATCTGAAAACTCAAAATGAGTATCTAAGTGATCGCGTCGACATACTCGAGGGTAGGATCGCTTCTCAATCTGACCAAATCAAAGATCTCGCAAATGCTGTAGAGGAAATCACATATAGGTATATGAGAGACAATCTAATCATAAACAATCTCCCAGAGCAGGGGCAGGGTACAGAGGACTGTGACACTTTGGTCTACGATTTCATACGAAATAAGCTACGTGTACCCAACGACCAAATATTCTCTCGCGAAAACCCGCATGCCCCTGTAAAGATCGATGTTAGTCATCGTTTCCCCAGAATGGGTGCTCAAACTAAACCGATGGTTGTGAAATTTACCATGAGATCCGGGCGAGATGTCTGTCTTAAATTTGCCAAGAACCTCAAGGGCACAGGCATATACATTACTGATCAACTCCCAAAGTCTATGTCTCAGCGTAAACAAGCGCAAATGCCCAAATTCAAAGATCTAAGGCCGCTGGGAAAAACGCCTACTTTAACAAAGACAAGCTGATGCTTGATAAAAGACCCGTTGATCCACTCTTCACAAAGAACCCCCTCCCATTGTCTTCTAAAACCATTGACATTGCACCCAAACTTGATAGCTATGTAATAGGCGAATCCGTGGAGGGAAACAACAGTGGGTTTACCGCAATTGCTGTTAAAGTCCCGGGGATAAAAGAGGCCCAAGCAGCTTTTTCGAAGTGCCATAAATTTGATGATGTTATCAAATCAACGTCTGCGCCCTATGCCTATCGTGTTCCTGAAGGCTTTGGATATTCCGACAACGGCGAATTTGGAGCTGGTAAAGTTCTGTCCGATATTCTTGAGAATAGCAAAATGACCGACATTTCTGTCATTGTCCCAAGGACTCTTGGTCAGCCTAACTTCGGCAAAACTAGCCATGCGAACATTAAGGGGACAATAAGGGACTGTCTTAAAAAGTTAGCGGGTTGAAAAAACCCACTGCTTTACCTTTTGGACTGTTACTAATACTTGAATGTCTTTGTCATAATATACTTTCAGCAAATCAGGATTAGCTTCAAAGTGCTTACTTATCTCAAGTAAAAATCTCTTGTCAAGCGTAAACATTATGTGAGTGTGATTTCAACTGAAATAATTGAAATGTATTGAATGTAGTTATATATGTACATGTATGTAGAACATCATGTTTGTAAATACCGTGTGATGTTGGCTAAATTAGATTGTTGGATAATTCACTAATGTGGCTTCAAAATGTACATTTCTCAATGTACCATTGTCAGAAGTCTCGTAAGTTGATCATAATTTTTCTCTCTTGTACTTCTTTATTGTTGTTTTAAACCATGTAAAAAATACTTACTATTTTTACATCTTTGGATTTGGTTTACATTTCAGAACCTAGCTTTAGCAAGGTCTCTCTTTCCCTACATAAAATACAGAGGGACTGTTTGAAAATATCTTTGGGATGGCGATATGTTACACCATTACTAGAGGCCTTGTGTTAAATAATATTCTGATCTAGTTTCTTTACTCTTGCTGATTATCACTGTTAACTTTTTCATGTTTTATTTTGATCAGGTAAACTGGCCTTGTATATGTGTTTTTACAGACCTAATGTATCCAATTTTTATTTTTTAAAAAAACCGTTGCAATAAGCAGCGAAATCGTCTATCGCATTTGATGAGTACGATACACACTAAACCAGAATTAGCCTGGTTTTTTATTATTTTTCTAGTTTTAAGTACCAAATGATGCAAATGTCTGTCTTTCAGTACTTTTTTCAGATCTTAACGCGTTGTATTCTAATGTTTATGCCACCGCTGCGACAGGTATCGGTTAAAGGGCATTGATGTAGCAACCTATCGTATGAGGGTGGGGCTATTTAATAATTTTCGGCTTCCTAAGAACAAGAACCGTGTAGTGAGAAATCGGTCACCATGTTACTTTACAGCTCACATTTACTTCGTTTTTCTAATTGTTATTGCTGTTTTTGCTGCTACGTTTTATAAGGGGTTTACGAGTATTATAATTTTACTTCTTGCGGTTGTTATATTCAATTTCTCGATGATCGTCTTGCCACTCTTATGTTTCACAAGGTTTCTGTTGAAACATATCAAACATTTTAACCCGCGTTTTTGTATCACATTTCCATGGGCCTTATTATGCTTCATATTTTTCACACTAGCTTGCCCTGGTTTTGGGATGTGGATATATGTACCAAATTTGAAATATCTCATGTTAATGCACGGAGATATCCAACCGAACCCAGGTCCGGTTGGACACGAAAATATCACATTCCTACTGTCAAACATAAATAGTATTACGGCAGACGAATCAACAAGATTCGAATGTTTAATAGATGAGATGCGCCTAAACGAAGTCCATGTAGCTGGTATATGTGAGGTTGGACAAATTGCAAATGAAACTATCAAAAAGGATTACGATATTTTTGACTATCACCCGCCAATATACATAAGTGAGGGGAGGGGATTGATGGTCTACATAAAAACAATATTTTCTTTAAAAAATGCCCGGATCTTGGCACTAAAAAACACAACTGTGCAACGATATGGTTTGAACTATGTGTGAATCATCAAACTATTTTCTACGCGCTGACATATAAATCGCCTAATATGAGTGTTGATGAAAATAACCAATTTTTCACCTCTTTATCGAGGGACATCGAAACGGTGCAAAGAAAACAACCTACAGCTGTACTTTTAAACGGCGATTACAATAGCAAACACTTTAGCTGGAACGAGCACAATTCAGCTAATAATACAGCGGGTACTCAACTTTATAACCTCATAACTAATTTTGGACTTAGTCAGCTTGTTACCGAGCCTACCAGAATAAGACCGACTTCAATGTCATGCATTGATCTTTCAATATGTAATTCCCCGGGACTAGTCGAAGTGACTAAAGTACTCACACCTATCGGTAACTCAGATCATTGTTGTGTTCTAACGAGATTAACTACTGGTCTAACCAGGGAACAGTCAACTAAGCGAACTAAGTGGTATTATGACAAAGTAAATCGCACTGTTTTGAATGAAGCTATTTGTAACTCCCACCTTCAAAATATTTCGGAAGGAAATGCTAACATAGATCAAAAAGTCAACGAGTTTACTGAGATTCTTTTCAGCATTTTTCAGAAACACATACCAAATAAAACTAGGAGGAAAAGAGAATCGGATAGACCTTGGTTTGATGACACAATTAAACATGAAATTAATGTTCGAAAAAGACTCTATGCACAATTTAAAATTTCAAAAAACGAAATTGATTATCAACTTTACAAAACCCAAATGCTAGTTGTAAACGATTTAGTGAAACAGAAAAAACTTGACTACGATAATAATGTTACGGAAAGCGTTCTCAGTTCCGAAATTACATCCAAATCTTACTGGTCGCTTATCAAACAACTCCTTGGTAAACGTTTTTGCAATTCCTTCCCCGCAATGTTTGACCTCGAAAAAAATACCCCAGTACACAGCAACCTAGGTAAGGCTAACCTGTTTCTCGAACATTTTGTTTCCAAATATTCCAATGAAATAACTGTGATGGAAAGGCCCTTTCCAAGCAGAACCCAATTATATATGCAAGAATTTGAAATTTCTCCACAAATGATTGTGGAAAGTATTATGGAATTAAAACGTGGAAAATCAGCCGAACATGACCAAATCACAAATGAAATGTTAAAATTAGCAAGTGACTCCCTCGCCATTCCATTATCAAAACTTTTTAATTCGATTCTCATTTCCAAGACTTTTCCTTCAAAATGGAAAGAAGGAGTTGTTTGTCCTATCCATAAAAAAGATGACAAATCTCTAATAAAAAATTATCGGCCTGTAACTTTACTTTGTACAATGTCTAAACTTTTTGAAAAAATAGTAAATTGTAAACTGATGACCCACTTGACATCAAATAACCTAATTTATGAAATGCAATCTGGATTTCTTAAAGAACACAACACTCAACTCCAACTAACTGCTATAACAAACTACATTCTTCAAAATTTTGAAAATGGTCTCGATGTTCGAGCAATATTTTTGGACATTCAATCAGCCTTCGACAAAGTCCCTCATGCACTCCTTCTTCAGAAAATCAAATCCTACGGTATCCCAAAATCACTAATTGACCTTTTTCAATGTTACCTCACAAACAGAACAATTTAATTTAAGATCAATGATGAATTTTCTAGGTCAAGTAAAGTCGGTCAAATCAACTCTGGAGTCCCCCAAGGCTCAATATGGGGACCGATTTTCTTTTTGTTATATCTAAATGACGTAACGGACGACCTAAACTCTAAATGTTTTATCTATGCGGATGACACGTCACTTTTTTGTCCGGTTGACCCAATAAATCACCAAACAGATAGCCAAGTTCTTCAAGAAGATTTAATTCATATCCAAATGTGGTCCCAGAAATGGGGACTAACTTTCGCACCACAAAAAAGTCACGAGTTGATCTTTAAAACAAATAGACCAATTGAGAGAACATATCCTAAGTTTGTTTTCAACGACACTCCAATAGATCAAATTAAACATCATAAGCACCTCGGTCTAATTCTTGATGAAAAGTTAACCTTCAAAACCCATATTGAATATCTAGAAGGTAAAGTTCAAAAATTATTAAATCCACTTATGGCACTTAAGCATAGATTAAATTCCAAACACCTGGAAAAAATTTACTCTTCCTTTATCCTGTCACATCTGGACTATTGTGATATCATTTATGACGCTGCTCCAGCTACCAGCCTAGCCCAGTTAGACAAGCTACATTATAGGGCAGCTGTTATTTGTTCTGGTGTTATGCAAGGAGCAAGCACAGAAAAAACCCTTGAAATATTAAATTGGGATAATCTTCAAAATAGACGGGATGAACATAAATTGCGCGTTATGTTCAAGATTCATAACAATTCGGCACCATCTTACGTTAAACGGATTTTCGAACGATATAAATCACCTCAGACGCGAGTTCTTAGAACAACCAACGACTACAAATTACCAGCCTCAATTAGTAAAAAAATGGAAACGGGAACAGTTTGCTCAATGATAACCTTGTGGAACCGTCTTCCTAGAGACCACAAGGAAACGAACAGCTTCTCACTTTTTAAAAAACAACTAAACGATCACCTCACCAAAAACACCGAACCTACAATTTCAACCTCCTACATACAGAATCTTGATAGAAAAGAAGAAATTGTACTAAATAAGATAAGAGTAAATCGATATTTCAAATCCGATCTTTTTGACCATAATTTCTCTTTCATTAACGATCCATATTGTGACTGTGGAGCTCGAGAGACAGCACAGCATAAACTCTTGTCCTGCCCTCTGAGAGAAACAAATGCGCTAGCGGTGGTTAAACATGAACTAAACTTAGATGTTACTAAATACAAAACATTAAAAAATAAGACAAATTTCCTACTTTTTGGCGACAAAGATCTGACAAATGAAAACAATTCCAAAATCTTTAAGGCAGTTTTGAATTTCATTAAATAATCGATAACAGCAATTCAAATTCAGGGCACCAACGGGGGTACAGACAGGTAGAAAAACAGATAGTATCTAAATTATATATTTTTCTTACTCTAATAATGACTTTGACTAAATGTTATATTATATTGTATTTTAAATTCACTTAAAGCGGCAGTAGAAATGCCCTTTCAGGGCGATTACGCCGTGAATAACAATGAAAATGTATCTATGATTTTAAGAAATAAAGAGTATTTATTATAAAAAAAAAAGTAAATTGTGTATAAACAAGCCATAAAATGACAAATCCAGAACAGGAACGTTGTCATATTGTAAATAATAAGGTTTCAAATGCAATGCCGTTAGACGACTACGTATGATTTCTATGGACGGTAACGTATTTGTATTAGATGTACATTAGATATTTAGCGGACGGTTACTTGCATGTACATCTTTCAAGTTAAGGTTGCTAGTTCTGATAGCCTCTTTCCATGTAATTGTT